ATTGTAAAACAATATAAAAAAGTCTTTTATCAATTGTGTAACCGATCTACAAATGATGGGACGTTCACCCCTGCTCTGCCACCCGCAAATAAAGCAAATAAAGCAAATAGTGCTCACGTGATCAACAGCCAATCAAATAATAAATTTTGATTTACCCGGATCAGCCCGACGAGGCAAAAAACAATAAATAAAGAAAACGAATATCTTAGCCTGTCTCAGGGCACTAATAAAAAATGTCGGAACGGCAATTTTACCTATAGGCATTGCTCTACCCTTAACCCTAACCAACCCTTACCCTAATTTTAATTAAATAATCAAAAACATATAAACACACCTGGCATTAGCCACCCACCGCAAATAGCAAAGATTATTTACACTACATATAAACATGCATAACAAAACCATTACACAGCATACCGTATTTGGTAAAAAGGAACATACGAAATTGAATACGTACACTTAATGAATGAAAATGGAATTAATATAAAGTTTTTAATTCAATATGATATGCAAGGATTATATTGTTTTTTTTTTATTTTTTCGAATCAATAATTTTTGACTATCAGTTTTCATATTACCAACCTTTTTTAATGATATTCAACCGGATTTAGTATTTTTACAAGGCATGTAAGGAAAAATCTATCGTTTCATATAAAATTGAAAGAATTTTATAAGGCTTAAACAAGAAAACAAATATTTAAATCGACTTTGTTATACTCAATAAGACTCATATAAAGTGATTATTTTTTCTAATTTTAACACTAAGTCATAACATTGTTTTTTTTTCTTGGCAATTTTGCCATAAGCTTTCTTTCTGCGCTTGTATCACTCGCATTTTCCCGATTAGTAAATCTAAATATAAACATTTCAAGGAACAAACGAATAAAAATGCGCATAAATGTTGAGAATTGGTAATATTTATTATTATTCACGCATGTACCGTATATTATTTGTTTCATCAATGTTAATAAAAAGGCATCGGAATTTCCAAATGTCAACCGTTTTTTTATCAATCATTTTTACTAAAGATTTGTCTTTTCTTTAGTAGTCCTAGATACACTTTAAAATAATAGAAGCTAGCACTCCTTCTAGATTCTTTCCCTTTCCTACTTTGCTCTTTCCTACTTTTGTTTTTTCTCTTTACCTACTTTTAACAAAAAATGAAGATTGTTCGATTTGTAATCATATGCGCATTATTTTTTCTTGTTGAACAAGTAAAATCATGCGAGAAAGATTGTCAAAATGGTATTGCCGATGCCTTCGCTAATAGTTGGAGTGACGAAGTTAAAACGATCTACGGGAATTTCAAAACAAACGCACTCGAACATTTATGTTATGGTATATCATATACTAAAGTTTCAAATGATTCGACTGTGGTAGATAACCTTACCAAAAATGTGTACAGTTCCGTCTCTGACAAAATCGATAGTTTTATGAAAACATTCATTTCAGGCATGTCTGGTATAATTAAAAATGCTATTTTCAAAGAGGACCCAAAAATGATTGGTGATTGTAATAACCCTTATCGAGTTACACAACCGCCTGTAGGTGTTAATTGGACATATGATGATTGTGTTAAAATGGATTACGTTTGTGGGAATCCACCTTCAATATGTCATTTTTTAGATATCAATAAGGAGAAATGTTTTAAAGATCTAAAAGCGAATGTAACGGAATGTTCAAAAGTTGGAGGAGTTTACATTACCATGATCAACGATACTGTTACAAAAATTGCATCTAACTATAGTCTTACGAAAGATAACTCTGATTACTTTGTGGGCAGAGTTTTGAAAAAATGTTCAAAGTTGCTTAAGTCATTTAGATAGTGATTTTAATACCAATTTTTGTTCCAATAATTGTACTAAATATGATAATTCAACTATAATACCATTATTGCTGTCTTATCCTTAATGGTTTTTATGTAATTTTTTTTGCATATAGATTTTGTTCATAGTTTAATTTAATTCTCATATAAAAGCTTTCACATAAACAGTCAATTAATGTTTATATAAAGATCAATAAAGGAATTTATTGCTTTCATATTATTTTTCTCGTGATATATACACAAAAAAAGAAATAAATCAATTTAGGAAATTGTCATTCCCAATCCCATAGATCTGGTTCCTTTTTCATGTAAAATAACTTTAAATACTTTTACAAGATTTATTGACGAACCTACTCTTTACTGAAGTAAAACCAAGATTATCCATATGAGTACTACCAATGGAGAACTTGTAATACGTATATACATACATACGTACGTACAAATTTCTAACCATTGTAATATTAGTTTGAGTATATAGCAAATATGTAATGTATAGGTAATAAAGTATGTAGGATAGAAATTAAAATAGCTTGTGAAAGAAATTTAAAGACTTACCTATAACCTATGCAAACCCTAACATAAAAAAAAGTGTAATATTAGAGAAATTCACTCTGATCCTAACTATTAAAAAGAAATCACTTGTAAAAATAAATGTTATAAGTTTTGCCAACCATACTTACTTTCGTAATTTTTTTTAAGTTTACATTCATAAAATAATTGTATACATTACTTACATTCAAGTTTATACAAAATACATACAGTATTTCTGTAATACTCTATTAGTTTAAAATCACTGCACAAATGTATGCATGTACAGTGTACATACAAATTTCTGAATCATTGTAATATTACTTAATCCAAATCACTGTACGATCACTGCTCTGGCACACAAATACGTTCAAAATACTTTATTATCTAAACGATTAAAACACTGTTCAAAATCTGGTTCATTTAGTAATACAAATTACAAATGAATTTACTATTTTAAAATAAATTTTCCAACTCAAAAAAACATATGGAAAAGCAATTACAGCATATCAGTATGGTACAATCAGACCTCCCTAAATCGGGCTGCAGGATCAACTCTAAAGCGTTCATTCAGGGGTCTGCAATTAACAGCCAATAATATTACAACATTATTATAACATGGTAGTTTTAAAATGCGTGCAATGAGAGCTGTTTAATGTTTTTGTATTTAGAGGGTTCTTGAAATAGACTCAATAAAGAATTTGATCGACTAGTTTGATCAGAAGTTCAATCAAATTCTTCGTTGAATCTATTTAGATAATGCTTGAGAATACTCTTAATAGTCAAAATGTAAATAATATCAAAAGGCTGCTCAAACATTGATTGAGATTTTATTTGGATCTACCAAAGCAGTTGTTCATTACTATGATTATTAGTTAACTACAATAAGAGTAGTAATATGATGATTCATATTATTATCTTAAATGTTAAGATTAATAAATTCTAAATAGAATACATTTTTTATTCTCATTGATTAAATTGAGGTGAATTAATAATGAGAAGTCATACAATAGTAAAATGCGGCAAACTCTGATGCTTGCGTGAAGTACTATCGTAATGCTTCAATATAAAATATGATAAACTAAGACCTTTGTGAGAATAATTCTTAATAGATCTAAATAAACTATTTTATATACTGTATATTAAATTATAGCATTTATATTCAAATTACAATTAATGTCGTAGTTGAAACTGAGATCAACTACTGCTAAAATTTTATGTTTATTGTCAAAAATATATGTTAGAATGTATATTCAAAATGAACACCTGCTATGAAATCAAAACACGCCTCTTAAAATCATGTGCTTGTTACCTTTAAAATCACAGACAAACTCATCTACTAAATTATGAACTCAATTTTGAAATCACTACTAACTACTAAATTGCGAATTATTTTGTGAAAATTATGAATTCATTGTTAAAACTGAGAACGCACCTAATAATAAAGTCTTGAAAATCACTACTATTGAAATAATTAACGTATTCAGTACTAAATTTGACTTCATCTATTGTTAAAATCATGAATCAATTGTTAAAATCACTATCAAATAGTGAACCCATTTACTGTTAAATAACTGCCCATCATGAAATCGTAAACTCCCACTGTTAAAATTACAAATCTATCCATGAATTTCTGACCCACGACTCTTAGAAAGTCTTCAAATGAAACATTCTAACTTGTTTCCTTTTTTTGATTTTTTAATTGTCTTGAGTTTCTTGGAAAATCTTTTTAAGCAAAGATATTTAATTGCTAAACCAATTTATGTAATAGACATAATTTGAATAATGTTAAAATACATTTCATAAAAATAGTTAAAATAATTAAGTATTTAAAAGCAGGATCAATAAAAAGCATAAGGTTTGTGAATATTTACATTTAGGAAAAAAGCTATATAATTTTCATCACGTTATGCATAAAGTGCCAGATTTACGAAAGCTCGGCCAGTACATTGTCACATGATAATTGCACTAGCATTACAAAAGTTTTGCCTGCATTAATAGATATCTATCATTATGTTCGAAATTGTAAGTTTGTTCGAAATTGTAAGTTTAGTTATTAAATAATCCTGCATCGTGATTGACTTGTTTAATTTTTGGGAGGCGGCTGTCTGGGAAGGGGATGACATTAATCGGTTATTTAACTTTAAATGGCCGTACTTAGTCTGTGAATATAGTGATCAACTATTAATAGAAGTGCTCAAAAAATTACTTATCTTGCGTTTAATTTACTATTCGTGTTTATTGGTCTATAGTGGTGTTAATTAATTTAATAAGCAAAATAGTTTTTGCGCAAAAATATTTTTAATTATAGTAATTTCGAAAATTGCAATATAGCATAATTAAATTTAGTATTTAAAATTCTAAAATATACGTACGTACGTACCTACGTACATACAGTGTTGCATATCAGATATAATAAATCAAGATTGACGTTAGAATAATAAATCTTTGAATTCGAATACGTCAGACTTATTTTATTAATATGACAGAAGAATCATCTTCAGTATATTATTCTGCTCCAATAGTCAATTGCAAGTTAATGTGTCAACAAATAGCAGTATTGTAAAAAAAACCATAATTGGCTTGGAAATATGGATTATAATACGGAAGACTTGATAAATCGAATTTGAAATGAATGATGTAGCTATATTTATAGATATTAGTAATATATTATTAAGCATCAAAAAACCCTAAAAACAAAAAAAAAATTACTATTACAATAAAATTCTATACAGTAATAGCAATAGCGAATTGAGTATCAATTATATTTCAGGGCTGTATATTAAAATATATAGCAATAGCATTTATTATAATTATCTATTTGTGTATGCTTAGTGTATACGTATATATTTATTCTGATACTATTTCTTATAATTTATATTTTAGCGAATATAATGCTAAAATTATTTATTGTATTTTGCAATAATTTCAATATTTAAATCTGCAAAAACGAAAATTATTTTAATATCGGCCTTTAAAATGACCAAATTAATTTAATAAAGTTAACACCACTAAGTATAACGATCTTTTATCAATCAAAATACCTGATTTTTTTAAGATAAACTATTCGCTTCTTATTATTTCTTATTCGTCTAAACTTGACTTCGAATTCATGAGTTGCAATACGTTACATTGTGATGAATTACATGTTTTTTTTATTTATTAAAATAGAAACCCATGATAGTGCTTTGAATTATGTTAGAAGTTCGCCTTTATTGGACACTGTTACGACAAGGGAGAGATTTTATAACTGCACTGCCAATTTAACTCTGGTCGTAAGCATTAAAATTAGGAAACCAATTATTTAATATCAAGCACAAGACAATAAAATGTACTAAAAATATAAGCGATACAGGCAAGTATCTTCCTAACAAGTGTACCCGGTACACAAAGAGTCCTCTAAGATACCACTTCATATTACTCTATTCCCGATGAGTAAAAGAAGAACCTTCCAAGAATACTAACTACTATTTACAAAGAATGTCTCTACTTATATACATGTTATTAGACTCAAATTGACTATATACTATTGACGCAAATGTAGAATAGCTTAATATAACGTGCAAAGTTTAATTAAAGTAAACCCTGTGGCTATAAACTATAGCGTTACACAAAAGCTTATTTACAAATGTCACGTTATTTTTTACTTAATTTATAGCCAATTATAAATCATGACTTTTGAGTAATAGTATTAAAAAATTAATCTACATACAATTCTAGAGTATATATATTAAATGCAATGTTATACAATTTGCAACAAGATCATAACGAGTTACATATATCACAAATTCAATTAATAAAATCATATGACCTTGCCATATGATTTTACTAATTGAACTTAGCGTTAGTGATACATATCTGCTACGATCTTGGCATTGCCACTGGGTAGCAATGGACCGATTAATAGATGTTGAACGAATCACTCAGGTGACTCTGATTCGGGTAAATCCCAAAATATATTTATATGATAAGAATTTAGAAGCTAATTGTTTATAAATTTATTTATTCATGATTTTACTTTTCTTCATAGTTTACTTTGTTGATAATAAATTTCAATATTTAAATTAAAATTATAACAAATTTCTAGCAAGAATTCTACTATACTAAACGTAGTTTTGTATTCTAGGGGCAAATAAAGTTTTTCTACTTGAAAAAAGCTACTTTAAAAAATCAATTCAAAGATATTAAAAATAAATTGTAACATCAAAGCCTGTTTTTGTCGAAGCAGTTTATTATAAATAGGACAATTTGCATGATTAATGTAAAAATTGATCAACATAAATCGAGAAACGTTGCACATTAATACATGCTTAATAAAAGTAAACGATATCTTGATAAACAAAAATGCCCTGAAGTTCATTGTCAGAGCCAGGATCGAAAGTAATGTAATTATTATCTGGTGGTTGTTGTGAAGCGTTAAGTTGATTTCCAAATGGAAATAATGCGTGAATCTGCACAAGATTCGAAGTATTTGAGAATAGCATGGAAGTTTCATCAAAGTTAAATCCAGCACCATTAAAAATATAGTTTTGTTCTAAAGGTCTATGATTCTTTTTTGGACCACGTTTTTTCCCAGAATCAACAAAAATACAATTTAGATTGAATAGTGTACAATGGTTACAAGTAGCTCTTCCAGAGCATCGTTTATGTTTATCTTGGCAATTTGTACATGCCTTAGTCACGTAAGGGCCTCATTGCTGCCGTCGTTGACATAACGACGACATGATTAAAAATAATAGGCAGTTGTTGATAAAGGCCGAAATCTCAGAGGTTTAATTGGAAGATATGAAAATAAATAAAAATTTATAAAGGCGAGAACTCAAAAAAATACTTATATTTATATTTACAGAAGAAAATAAAGCGTGTTATTGTTCTGTCAAAGAATCTATTATAAAAATCCGATGATCAGATATGGTCTGTGTAATTCACAGATAATGATAAGAATTCTTATCAGTTCAGTTAAGATAAGCACACAACACACACACTTCTGCACTAACTCCACAAACAATTTCCCTATTTATATAGAAACTTTTGTTTATTTTTCACTTGTGTTACATTTTACTGTATACACGTTTATTCATACGTACGTACTGTAATCGTATGCATTATGAAGGTGAATATTTCTAAATACTTACTGAATATAATGCATTATCCGAACGATTTCATGTAACTTTTGCTTTTGTAACTTATTAAAATAAAATATGCAAAATTTCACTCACCTCGTAAGCTTGCATATTGTACATATTACATTATTAAGAAGTGTCTAAATAAGTTACACGGAAATCGTTCAGTGGTCACATAATACATGTCATAACTTTGTTATCAGTCATGATAGATGCTGTCACTGCCGATAACCGGTTATCATTTATAACATTGACAGATAAAATAAAATTATAATTACAATGATGACATTGATACAATAACGATTAATTTGATGCAAATACAGTAATATCAATACCATATCATTTACTTATTATAACATTTATAACAATAAAAAATAGGAATTGATATTCGTACTAGCCTGATTTTCGAAATTTTGTGCAATCAGAATGCTTATCTATGTACGTACGTACAGCTCGGGTTATTTTTACTGTTCAATACAGGAGCGACCGTCGATGTTACACGACTGATCCTTCACCCGGTGTGCAACATATAAAAAAACTATTTTACAATA